CGGTCCCAATTCTAAGTAAAAGAGGAGGGTTGAACGTGGGGTTAGCAAACCCATATCATAAAAAAGAACCTTGTTTAAAAAATAACGCTAAACGCTTCTAATCTCTTAGTATTATGGAAAGTAAATCATTGATTAATCAAAATCTAATTGTCAGAGTTATTAATGTAAAGCTAATTTGTTTCATATCACATATATCATTTATCATATTGAATAATCAAGTTGTGAAGATTCAAAATTCCCAATGTTTGAATTTTTAACTAGAACAACTCATACACTTTCATGTTGTCTAAGTTGGTTTGTAAGTGTCCATTCTGATAGTTTTCAAATGTCGTCCTAACGTGAAATTTGCCTCTCCGTTGTCAAGCATCCCATTAATTGATCGCACTATACAGTGAAAAAAAATTTTTCTACTTAATTCATTTTATGTATGTTTTAATTGATAAATTACAATTTCAAAAGCATAGGAATAAAGCATGAATTCTCTTCTCAGTATAATGATTCAATGTTACAATAATCTACTTCAAGTGGTAATTATTGTGAATATTATAATAGTATGAATACTAATGATAATCATACGTTTACTAGTGATCAGATTCAAGATGTTACTCTTGGAGTTCTAGTGAGAAGCGGCAACCAGTTGAGTTGAACTATGGTTGGGTGTGTGAGACAATTATATACTGCACGGAATTAATGCTGATTGTGTAATATCGTGAAGCGATTGAAGTTCAATTTCTATAGTCTAGGAATTAAGCGAAGTTTCTTAATTCTATCCCTAGTGATAGAGTCGTGGATACCCACTGTCGGAAAGCCCTATGTTAGGATGATACGGTAATCCTTATGGCTTCCAATGGTAATCGAACTAAGATTACTTCGTGGTTTACATGATGAAAACTCCACAGTTTTCACAAAAGATATAAAGTGAAAGTCAGTACTAATGATGAAGCGAAAATAACTGACGAATAAAATCAGAATTAGATACATGGAAATTACTCATGTATTCCTGCTTTGGTTATGGAAATATGAAAGTAAATTCTGTTTCGTTGATTATTAAGTTTAACTTATCACTAAGATTATAACAAAAATCGAGATTGAATCCTCAGATTTATTTCGTTTATACAAACATTTTGTAAGAAAAGAAAAGGAGCGATAATTATGTTTGGTAATAAATTTAAAGGTTTTCAACAAGCATTAGCTTTTAACATCAACTGGAAAATCGCTGTGATCTAATAGACAATCAACAGTTCCCTCTGACCTAGTATATGACTGGTTAATAGTGCGTACTTATGACCCTAATCAATCACTGAATAAGAATTCAATGATCCTTACTTGTAACTTCGTTTGAAAACATATGTATTTGAGCAGGAGAAAATATCTATGTGTTTACCCATCCCTTTTTCAATGCTCAGTAATTGTGCGGTGTCCAGTAATTTTTGTCACTTTTCCTTTCAGTTCGTAGCTAAGTGCTGCATATTATGATCTGATTTTCGTTAGAGATTTCCTTTACAGCTCTAACATTCGTTAGATTTCTGCTTTTCATCCGGTATGTTAGGATGAGCCATACTGAATTGTCTATAATAAATATATTTGAATACTTTAAAATGCTTGAAATGAAATCTCGACGAAACTATAATTTATGAACGAATCAATCATATTTAAGATAGCAGGTCTTGAATTTCGGTGTGAAATTCATTCACTCATTTGGTCAATATATTATTTTGACATTATAGTTGGTGTCAGTTCGTGATGAAAACATCAAATTTAATTCCTAACCCTAACGTTCAACAGTAAATCTTAATTCCTCACATTAATCTATAACCCTCATTTAACTGTAGTACGTAGGTGAACATTCTAAGGTCATTTAAACGTTGCTCGAAGGTCAGCATAAATTATAGTTTCGCCAAAATTTCCAGCACTTATCAGCTAAGTGAACTGGGAAATCTTTGAAAATGCTGAATACTCTACAGCAATTGTGGATTGAGAAATTGATAGATAATCTTATAAGAATATTTAAAAAATGATCTTTTATTATCTAATAACATTTAATTCACTAGATTTTGGCAGGTTTTGTGATACCAACTTGTTGTGACCAATACGAAAAATCGTAACATTATTTATTAATCACTATAATTTTAAACTTTGGCGTATTGTTGATGAAAATTTGCCTTTGAACACTCTTCTTATTGATTAACGAATCCGAATTCATTATTTCATTATTATTATTGAGCAAAATGTATGTGACAATCATTGTTTGTCACTATTTTATCCTTTTACTTTACACAACCATGCAAAAGTATATTTTTGAAGTCCCGCTATTTAGCTGTTGTCAAAATTTCAATAATCTTGTTAAATACATCCTTGTATTAGTATGAACAACTGGACATTTGAATCTTAGCAGAAAATAAGAAAATAAACTTTCACATAACATAAATGATGAGATGAGAAATGAAACGACGTACAAGAAAACAACATCCTCATCAATCGGTTGTTAGGTCATAACAGCAGAATGATTCTCTTTTCTTCTAAACGTCTAGTCTATGATCATATGCAATTTACATAATGATTGTTAATTCTTTCAGTATTGTTAATTCGGTTATTACAACTTGGCAATTATAAACTCTTTGAGGTATTTTACACGTTTGGTGTAACAATCTCAAGCATTTTCATAAATGTTTTCTATAAACTATTTTTATAAATTAGTTAACTTAATCATTAGTGAATACCACAAAATCAGTCTCATGTCTTAAAATGGTATTCATTTTACTGCATAAAAAAAAGAGAGGATCAATGAAATATAGCTAGTATCAATGTCAAATAAATTAAAATGTAGAGCTCGTTGGTTATGAGTATCAGTTTTTTAATTGACTACAATTAACGATGAGGAATACGACTTTGTCATTCCATTTTTATAATTCCTCCATATTAATACTTTCTAGGGTTAAATAAAAGGTATCCATAGGTATATGAGCTATTTGTAAGGATGATCATATACTGATCATTATCTCAATTAACTGTTATTGGGCAATACTGCCAATCTGAATAAAAAAATCGATATTGAGAAATTACACGCTCTAATACTCATTACAAATGATTATCATAATTCATTAGTGTATTGAACAATGACTTAACAGTTAGAGCAGTGTTTAATTCATCTTGAAAGTAGTACAAAAACTAACTAACTCATTTAAATCAAACATTTCAACTGTCAATCAGTCATTATTAAATTTGTAAATGAATTTCCGATAGTCTTAAAAAATAAGGAAAAAGATGCATTATTTTATTGAGATCATAAACCGATCTAGGTTAGGACGCCACTGAAAAACTGGAAGCTCTAGGTAGTTGTTTCGTCCTAAATATGAGACTCCTCAATAGTGAGTACCCATGATTCCATCACCAGGGGTAGAACCCAGGATCATTAGTCTCGCTCGAACACCTAATCTCGATATATTGTACAATTATCTTCCATTGCCTATGGTAGATAATTGTCTCAGATCCAATATCGTTGAACTCTAATAGATACGAATTCTTACTACAACTCAAGAAATCTTCACTCAAAACTAGTTACAAGTAATTTCAATAAAATTCAACAAACTGCAAAACTCAACACTCATAATAATCATAATGTATAATTGTTGATCAAAGTTTCTATAATTAAATAAAATTAGTTTTGTCAGTAAAATGATTGAAGTAAATGTACCTTTCACATTTTATTTTTACATTTAGAAATATTTAACTTGTATTTTTCGCTTCATCCTTTTGTCAACATTCCATAACACTTTTTTTTTTCTAGATACAATCTAGAAATGTCATTCACTCAATCTGAATAATTAATATTCACTATGTACTTTACCATAGATCATACAAAGGTGATAGTACACATGAAACAACTGGTTGTATACGTCAATTTGAAAAAAAAATATAAAAAAAACAAGTTGATCAATGAAAATCAGATTCCATAATAGATGAAATCAGTTGAATAATGATTTTTGTAAGAAATAATAACCAGACAGTGTAGAATTAGTAGGAACAAACTACTTTTTCCTAGGTAGCGAATGTTTACATTACTTTAATCAAGATATATTATATTCTATAGAAAATTTCAACCGAATTAATGAAGTAACACAAAATCTGATCACATATAGACGATCTAAAACTAAAATATACAAGATATAAACAAATGCAGATCGATAGTTTGAATTACCAATTAATCAGTGTATCTAACCGTCATTAAAACACTATCCAACAAATAGAGTATATTTTACACAATTTAATTCAATAATCAATAATTATTTAGGGTGAAACTAAGTCTTATTATTGATCATCATGAATCACCTTCGATATTATTATATCATTCTTCAACCCAATTTGAGTATTAATAAATACTAAGTTTGAGCATGTTTAAACTAACAAATATTACAAATTATCTAAACTTAAAGATAACATATAATAGCAGTCTTAATTAAGAACTTACTATTTATTACTTAAGTAAATAAAACTTTGGCTCAGTCTTTAAAGTATCCACCATTCAACCAAAAGCTCATCTCTTCAAACTAACCAATTAGTTTAACTGAGCAATTACAATTTCAGATGCATTCTACATCAGGAGAAAGCTATTCTTTTTTTATTTAACTTAAAGTCATATTCACTGTGTCATTATAAATCAGATGTGTTTACTAATTTTAAGCATTTCATGAACTGAATATTAGGCTATTCGCATCTAGCTCTCAGTAAGATACAAGCTATATGTCATTACATTCTTAATTTCTCACAAAACTTCAATAGTTATCATATTAAATCTGAATGATTTGTCAGTATACCATGTAAACTACTTAACGATTCCTTTACAATATCCAACTCAAATTCGAAGATAAACCGTTTAAGCTTTGGTTGCCTAGAAAGATGTTATCCATTTATCGCGAAACTCTTCAATACTATCAATTCACAATGAAAAATAAAATTCTTTCCACAAATACAAATAAAATAAATCAATGATAGTAACTTACTGGATATATTTCAGCATAACATTTTGAATTAAATCCATTTTCATTTTTAGCCTTGGATACTACTGAAGAGTCACAGTTTATGGTTACATTATGTTTCATGCATGATACAAAATGTGTTCCTTCTAAGTTCATTTCTTTGATGTGATCTAGAATGAATGGTTGATCATTAAATAATTTATTTTGATTGTCATATTCTAGATTTGTTTCTTGACGCTCATTTTTTAGCTGACCGATAAAAGCTCCATTTTTATAGGCTGGGGTACCACTTTGTGTTTTAATGTATGTGTATTGACAGAATTTTCGTTTATCACCAACACGACAACGATAATCTAATGCATCAAGGGAACAGATTGAATCGACACTAATGGAACTCATATCTAATTTCCCTTGATAATTATCCGGCTGCGTGATAATAGCCAATTTAGATCCGAATCCCAAAAGACTTGATGTAAAAGAAAAATTACTATTGTTGTTGTATAAGTCTGAATTTTTTCTGAATTGTGACTCTCTAATTTGTGTAAGTTTGGATTGTTTTGTTGTGAAAGGTTGACATTTGTCGGTGTTTAATAGGTTTATATCATTAATACTTCCACCCAATCCTGTCGATTGAAAGGGATGCGTAGGCGTGTTAATTTTTACATCCTTGATTTCTGGTATTAATAACAGTACAGTCACGTTATACAAATGATCTATATTTATAGGCATTACAAAGCACCAGCTGTGCGTCTCACAGCCTGGTAATGTATCATCACAAGATTTGGACGAATATGAGTGACCGGATGCCCAACCGATAAGTCGTAAACCGGGCCCTAGCTGTACTGGCATTCCTGATATCAATTTTTTCGATACATCACAATGTTCCCTATCTGATGCAATGGATAATTCAAGGTTTCGTCTTAAATCACTCCATATTACTTTCCAATGTCCTCCATTCTGGGGTACATAACAATCAATACATATGATCTGATTCGGATTTTGTGGAGTAAGTTGAACACCTGAAATATTTATTGATTCATTATAATGAAGTAGTAATAGTCTAGCCAATAACCGAGTTGAATGAATGTTTATAGGATCAGTAACATTATGTTTTTGATGAAAATTGGAAGAGAGTTCATGGGCAGGAATTCGAAGCCAATAATATCTTTTGATTATTCCATCAGATTCTATCGACGATGTATCAAACCACCAGAAGGAACCTGGTACACGTGAGACTACACTATTTAAACTTGATTCTAAATTCCAATCACTGATTTGATCTGTTTTATTTCCACAATCTATTCCAGTTGTCTTCATTCCTATGTCATTTGGTTAATTGATTACTTTAATATCTGATGATAATACTGAAAATAATTGATAAACTTTCATAACCGTAACAAATTCACATCTTGTTAAAGTACAGGGGAAATGAAACATAAACAGAGATTAAAAAATCCATTGAACTTTTCATGCAAAATAATATTCAAGTGACTAGTCGGACGTTTGGACATTGGTAAATTTGGTTTAACCAATAATCTATAAACCAATCATAATTTGACACGGTAAACTAGACAATGGGCTGAAATGAAATAATACAACCAATTGTACATATTTATTATTGACTAGTTGGTCTGAATTGAATTATAAATTAGATTAGACAAATAAATAACACTCCACATTGATGGGATTTGCTTTATAATCTATATTGTTAGCTGTTTCTTGTGAATTTTAAAATACTGAATATTCACTGATATTCAGTGTTTTGACAGTTGAATTCATGAGTCGATCTAGCCTAAACTACCATCAGAAAATTGGAAACACTGGATGGTCGTTTCGTCCTAGTATGGGATTCCTCAGCAGTGCACATACACGATACCGCACGTGTGACTCGAATCCAGGACCTACAGTCTCGCACACGAACACTTAACTTCTAGACCACTGAACCAGTATCTATCGATGTTAATATTTAATTACAATCGATCCATAATCTTGTATAACCTTTCATCTTTTGTCTGTGGTAGATAACTGTCTCAATAGAATATTTAACATTCAAGAATGTTTAAATGAACCATTATTTTCAATAAATTCGTCACCGATTTCTATGATTATAAAACCATAATTACTGTGTTATATTAAAAAGGTTGTATTAGTTAATTAAACAATATTATTTGTTAAACATTGTGAAATTTTGCATCAGTTAAGGTTTAAATACACCTAAAATGTCATTTGTATATTTAAACAGTTATTTACGTAAATGTTGTAATAAAATTCATTGTAAGGTGTTAAATTGTAATCAATACGAAGTATTATTATTATTATTATCATTACTATTCTGATTATTATTCACTTATACCTTATTTTTACCATAGTAACACAGAGATGATATTGCTCATAATCCCCAGTTTCATGAAGTGAAGGTTATGACATTAAATTTCGTTGTTGTGAGGAATCTCAAAAAAAAAAATTCTCACACATCTAATACTGAGTACAATTATTGTAGAAGTTTAAATGGAATCAGATAACGTTTATGTCTAATTATTTACAAAACTTTCCATTCATTATATCATCAGATATGGTATTAATTTCCTAGCACAAAGTGGAACTGATCAGGAAATAATTAGCTCGGTCGAGAAATCAACATGCTTATTTGTTGTAAAATATACAAACAAAGAATAGTGTTGGTTTTTCGACCTTCCAAATGATGCTTTCAAATCTTCAAGAAAAGTATGCAAAAAAACATAACATATCACAAGTGTGAAAACTGTGTTGGATGAGGAATGTAATTTCAGAATAATTTTGGTACATTATTTATAGGTTAAAATCGAAATGTGTGAATAAATCTTACTAATTGACTGAAAGATGATTAGTTTTTGGCAAATGCATTGTGAATCTACAAAAATATACGAAAAGTATTCAGTTAACAGCTTTGATCCAGTTTCTTTAAATGTACTCATTGTAGTGAACTGAAATGACTGAATTTATCTTCAGAAACAGTATGCTTACTCAATATCATTACAAGCAATATCTTATTTTTTTACATTATTACATAAACTATTTAGTTGAATTAGAAAAAAGAAAGCATGGTATTTGTTATAGCGTTGTTGAAAAATTAAGCTCTTATTACAATTTTTAAAGGGAGATAACATAACCACATGATAAACACTAATAAATTTACTGTTCTGATGTTTCTATTGGAAACCGAACAAACTGGAACACAACGACAGGTAAACGATACTCAACTATACACATATAAAGCGATACAGAATGATTATTAAAGATCTTTTATTATGTCAACAGAAAGCTGTAATATTTGCATTATCTCTAGTTAAAGATTGTTTACTTGACCTTTACAATTCAGATTGTTACTAATTAACTTGGTTATGGAATTCAACATATCGGATAAAATACACACATAAAACAGCCTTACCAGAAGTCCTTTCTGCTTCTCCAATAACCGGCGTAACTTTAATTTATGGACAAACCAATCAGATTTAAGGTAAATGGTCTTGAATTTTGATGTGGAATTTACTGATCCATTTGCTCGAAGAGCATTTTTGCATGATAGTTGATATGAGCTCGTAATAAAAACCTAAATCTAACTCCTAATTCTACCGTTCAACTGTAAATCCTAATTCCTGATACTAATTTGTAATCCTCATCTAACATTAGTAGGTAGGTGGACACTCTCAAGGTCACTTTGGTATCGCTCAAAGGTTGTCCAGAAATTATAGTCTCACCGCTATGAGAACTATCCATTATAGATAACTGATTTGAAATAGCTAATATGAAAAAGGAATTGAAAATAAACAGCTTTATATGTTTTTTTACTGTGAAATTTAGAAATGTGCATAATTATAATAGTAATTTCCAAATAATCTGAGTTTAAATGCTCTAAATAAAATGTGTTGATTAGTTGAGGATTTACCAACCAGTGTAATAACTTTGACTAAAAGAACCAACATCTGATGAATAACCATTTTACCTCTGGTATTCACTGGACCTCCGAATGATAATAATTTGTGACGAAATATATCTTAAAGTTATACAAAATGTCCAGATAAGCAATTGTTATACACTATTCAGAGACTAGTTTCGATATGGATCTCTTGAGGTTTCACAGGAATTTCTCAACCTAAGGAGTCAATCGAATCGAGAATAAGACGGTAAGTCACCGATTACACTGATTTACGGTCACTGTATAGAATAAATTTACTCAAATTGAAATTTAGAGTTCAGTAATCCGAAGGCATAATGTTCATCGACAGTAGATTATTCTATAGATTTGTCCTTGACTTTATATTTTATTAATAAATAATTAATTAGTGCACATCTGTTGAACAACATCTTGTGTTAATAGATGTGTTAAATTATTCAAAACATTATTTTACTGATGAAATAGATCAACTGATATTTAAAGATGAATGCCATTACGTCCGATTTGTTATAAATTTAGAGATTTCCAAATTAATTCAAATAAATCATTCACCATAGATCAAAGCTCTCATGATCTTGGTCTTGGATAGAAGTAAGATTTAAGAAAGCATGGGTAGTCAAATCATTAAGTCATTGGTTATTATGGTGATAATTCGTTGTGAATGATGGTTACTTGGTTGTAGTTCGTGAAATAACATTGTCATTAGTAGAAAACTTTGAGTGACACGGCTTGGAACCTCTCATGGTAGTTTACATCCATTACTTTACAGAATGTGTTTCGACACTGTTTAATAATCTTACCCCGAATCTAAACAGCCCTTCAATCAAAGTAAATTAGTTGATTAATACTTTCGATTAAATTGAATCGATTATCTCCCGACTCACACACTACATACTGTCAAATTATGCTTAAAACTTTTGTGACTAATGTAAACTGAATCAATAAAAGAAAATGAATGTCTAATCGCTAATTACTTTATCAAGTACCATAGTTGAGTGACTAAAGACGATAGTAGGATAAAAAAGCGTTGAATCTCATCTTTATGGCTGTCAATCATTAAAATGTATTCGTTCAGTATAATTGTGGTGTATGCTGTTTATGTCGTTCAATATAAGTAGTATGTAACACCAATCGGAAGTGAAAAATCTGGTAGCACAAGGCTAAGAAGATCAAGGTGCAGAGAATAGAAAAGAATTGTTAAATGAAAGAATAATACAGAATGTGAAGGACAATTGATGGAAATTCATAAATGAAATATTTAGTGTATAGTTCCCATATTTTAACAAGATATTCTGTAATTTCGTTCTAAGCTATGAGTTCGTTGTCCCCAACCTAGTGTGCGTTCATTAAATAATGATTGCGTTTGTCACCACTCATTTGTCTAGTTAATAGTTGGTTTTCGGTTGAGATCATAAACTGACCAATGTTAGACCACCATTCAAAACCTGGAAGCACTGGATGACCGTTTCTTCCTAGTATGGGACTCACTAACAATGAGCATCCACGATCCCGCACGTAGGATTCAGTAGTGGTCTAACATTGATGATTTCAATCGAAACTCAACAATCTCCACAATCCCGTAATGATAATAATTGATTTCTCCTACTAGAATTGAGCAAAGTTTTATGTAGATCACCTCTTGAAAGTGACATATCTATTAATAGTAAACCAGAAAAAAAGTATCTTTCTAAAGAAAAGTAATCCTTTTGTGCTTAAATTCAGTTGTCTTTTCTTGAAACTTTTTTAAAAACCAATTCACTGAATTCAACAGTCAGTCTCGAACATGTGTATGTTAGCTGTTTATATTGAGTCTAAATAAGTCATCTGATCAATTACATACAGTTAGTCAATGATTTAATGAAATAACAGTTAAACTCTCTCCTAACTTCCATAAATTATGCTTGTTGAAAGTGTTATTCATAAACATATCTTGATTAGCTACAATTATGGTGAGTATTTGAGTCGAATTCCGTGATTATCAGGATTGTAAGTTATGTTATCTATTTTTTTCCTTCTTCTTCTTCTTCTTCTTCTTCAATGTTTACTCATTATGTAATCACTTATTTCTAGCTGTTTAAACTGTTGTCACAATCAATGTTGTAAAATGTTCTTTCGCATAAGGTATATATTTACAATATTCAGTCTATTAAATTTATTTACACCCTTTCTATACTTTACTAATATGTCTTCAATATAACTTCAAACCAAACCCTGTCATGTAAGTAATTTAAACTCATTATGTAATTATCATTTTAAATATCACAGGTTGTAAGCAGTTGATGAGAACCGATGAAATAAGAATGAATTCATGCTATTCTGCTAGAATATTTGTTCTTGCTCTTTTTAAAATGATAAAAGAAACTATGTATGTTTGAAGTAAATTTCACTTCTAATAAACGATAAATTATTGTTTAATTATAGTTCTAAAGTAGAAAATATCGATGTTGCTTAACAAAAAGATCCATTCTGATAATAATAAATATT